GCGTCGTTCATGTTAACGTGGTCGTTTGAAAAACCTGTGATTCTTGGGGTTTCATAACAATTAAAGTCAACTATACAACAACTAATGACTACTCGATAAACAGGTATAAAACAATGCTTCAATTTTTGTATACAAATAGATTTTTTTAGCACTGAATAGCGTTCATTGTCATTTCAAAATGTCATCATTTGCATTTACTATCGAAAAGAGCATACATAAAAATCGCTCAATTTAACATTAATAAAATGCAGTGTGACAAATAACAAATCAGCCCACCAATTCTTAATGATATGTTTCGATCATAAAATGTCAAAATCGAAGATAAATATTGGTTTCACATCGAGAAGAAGGGTAAATAAAATATTATTCAATCACCCCAAATGTCAAATACGACAAATTTCGGGGTAAAGGTATGAAAGTTTGTTGCAAAAATGTGTCGCTGCTGGTAAAATAATTAACAAACTACTAGCCGGCTACAATAAGACCTTGTACAGATATCCTGATTAAAAAATTATGTGAAAAAGCTTGAATTCTGGAATAAAAGACTAAGTTGAAAAAAACACATAGCAATGTGTCAAAAATAGTGACCGACTGTGTACTGATCACATGACAATGCTTTGCGCATACCAGGGAAGAAGGCCAATTCACAACTAATACAATGACTGGGAATAGAGATGTTATTTTCACTGGGTTTATATTTCACCGATTAACCATTTCAGGCATATTCATTGAGTTATAAATTAACAATTTTATCATTTAGTTAACACTGATGGGACTACCGTAGTTAAATCAAGTGGGGTAAGACCAAATAAATGACACAGAGACAAGGATGCCGGTAGGTAGGTATGGGGGGAGCATCACACCCTCACGTGCAGGCGTCATAGCAGCTGACCCCATGATGCAATTCGCAGATTTGAATTACATCATGACATGAACAACGTGGTACCTGAGTGTTGGTGGTCACTACGGCAACCTCACAAGTAGGCGTCGTAAGAGTTGTTGCCACCGTACGAGTCACAATTTAGACTAACACTGAGGCAAGCACACCGTGGTACCCAAGCAAGGCTGTGTATGCTGCAGTGACAGCCCCCAAATTACGCATAGAGAACAACGAGCATGATTGTGTTAGAAAATGCAAGTCATGCAAGCAAGATTTAATTTGCTTTGATGAGGTGGTAGCATGGAGGCTACTCAAAACAAAATAAGAATAAAAATCAAATGACAAGAGCAAAAGTGGTTTGAATGCGACGATAACGCAAAAGTGTAAGGCATGTGCTCAGCGAATGCATAAAGAATTACGAATCCGAGTAAAACGATGCACAAAGTCAAGTTAAATGCTTTTTAAAAATTAATGAATGACATAAATAGTAAAATGAATTACGAATGTGAGTAAAACGATGCATAAAGTCAAA